AAGAACAAGATCGTGTGGCCGACGACACAATGCTCGCTTCGGTGTCTGCGAAAACAATGGTCGCACAAGTAAAGCGTAACACAACCAAAAACAACGAATTGGACCCTGTCCTGCGCACGGTGAGTATGCGTAACGTTGCAGCTAATGAGATCTCAGCCAACCGTCGTGTCTTTGAAAACAATTTTTTGAATTCGATTATGCATTGGCAAAGATAAAATGCGACGATAAAGATGCCAGTACAAGAGTATGCAGATTAGTTGAAATCTCATACTCGTGCAGCATTTTATCACCAGACCGACGCTTCTTTATCAAAGCATTGTGCACAACTTGTGCAGTGTCTAACGCCTGAGACCGTCTGCATCGAGATCGTGGAAAGTTCTACGAAGCAAAATCAAAATTCGCTCGGTAACGCAGCAAACATTGTCTTTCGTTCCTTCTTAAATAGAATTTTATGTCCCGCCGGAGAATTTTGAACGTTTCAACATTGAAGATCCTCCAACGAGTTTACCACCACCTGTACCTCTACGACAGAGAGCTAATTGTATTCCGTCATTGTTCGTCAGACTAGATGGAGACGCCCTATGCTTCGTTGTGCAAGCATAATGATCACGTGCATCAATGTGATGTATCTCTGTTTCTCAACCTATTCGATACTTGACACGGTTGACGTTCTTCTTAGAGAAAGAAATCGTCAAGACTAGTTTAGAAGTATACGTTAATTAACCTATCCTATTCTTAATAGAAGATCCGAATAAATTCTTTCGCTCGAGATAAATTTACAACCACCTTATTCTTTGGTTTTTACTAGAACTGTGCAAACCCGCCCGAGTATCAGGAACCCGAAGTTCGGGACGGGTCGGAAAGAGTCAGGCGGGATCCCGACACGTTTCACTGCTCGATGTCTCGAAATCCCGAGTGTTTTGGGTCCCGAAAGTTTCGGGACTGAGCGCGATTCTTGGGTGGTCTCGGTCTCTACGCACGAATAGACTATTCCGAGACCACCCGAGAACCAAGTGCAGTATCGAAACTTCCTTCCAAGATCTCGAGCAGTGAAATGTATCGGGATCCCAACCGATCGCGCTCGAATTTCTTCGTCCCGTCCTGATCCTGTAACGTCGAGTTCCCGCACATGCACATAGAACAAAATAACTGTTCTCTGTAGTGTCAACGATTCATTTTGATCGAGTGTACAGTAGCATTAGTGTGGGTCTGTGTGGTTCAAACATAAAATATGAAGTTACCTTTCAACGTCATAAACTCGGCCTCGTACTTCTTCAGTTTCTTTAACGTGACCGAGCAGGCTAACTTCATTACGTAGCGCGAGACTTCTTCGTTTCGACAACGTTTTGGCAGATGTACCCGAAAGTATTTCAATATACTCTCGAAGTCCAGCTGAAGCAGTTCCTTTTTACATAGCTACGGAAACAGAACCACTTTATCCTTATGACGCGTCCCAAGCAAATGATAATGCATTATCGAGATAGCATGCGCTTTTCAACACCTTACCATTAACAACGCGAGAGCGACCTGAAACAGCGTGTCGAGTCCTTGCAGGAGAAACACATCCAGAATATGGAAAACAAGATAAAGTGGAAATCTGGCTGTAAAGAGAGTCAAAAACCATTGTGCGGCGAACATGTGAGTCTCCACGCCACGGTCGCAAAAATGTTTATAAAGTTCTGGCAACTGATCCTGAAAAAGCAACGTTGAATTTCATCATTGAATGATCTTTCCAATTGTGTTTTATGCATGTGAACCTACCTCTATCAATCTATTAAGCTGATAGAACCTCATGTGAAGATTGTCGAATCTGTCCTTATACAAATCCCNAAGAACAAGATCGTGTGGCCGACGACACAATGCTCGCTTCGGTGTCTGCGAAAACAATGGTCGCACAAGTAAAGCGTAACACAACCAAAAACAACGAATTGGACCCTGTCCTGCGCACGGTGAGTATGCGTAACGTTGCAGCTAATGAGATCTCAGCCAACCGTCGTGTCTTTGAAAACAATTTTTTGAATTCGATTATGCATTGGCAAAGATAAAATGCGACGATAAAGATGCCAGTACAAGAGTATGCAGATTAGTTGAAATCTCATACTCGTGCAGCATTTTATCACCAGACCGACGCTTCTTTATCAAAGCATTGTGCACAACTTGTGCAGTGTCTAACGCCTGAGACCGTCTGCATCGAGATCGTGGAAAGTTCTACGAAGCAAAATCAAAATTCGCTCGGTAACGCAGCAAACATTGTCTTTCGTTCCTTCTTAAATAGAATTTTATGTCCCGCCGGAGAATTTTGAACGTTTCAACATTGAAGATCCTCCAACGAGTTTACCACCACCTGTACCTCTACGACAGAGAGCTAATTGTATTCCGTCATTGTTCGTCAGACTAGATGGAGACGCCCTATGCTTCGTTGTGCAAGCATAATGATCACGTGCATCAATGTGATGTATCTCTGTTTCTCAACCTATTCGATACTTGACACGGTTGACGTTCTTCTTAGAGAAAGAAATCGTCAAGACTAGTTTAGAAGTATACGTTAATTAACCTATCCTATTCTTAATAGAAGATCCGAATAAATTCTTTCGCTCGAGATAAATTTACAACCACCTTATTCTTTGGTTTTTACTAGAACTGTGCAAACCCGCCCGAGTATCAGGAACCCGAAGTTCGGGACGGGTCGGAAAGAGTCAGGCGGGATCCCGACACGTTTCACTGCTCGATGTCTCGAAATCCCGAGTGTTTTGGGTCCCGAAAGTTTCGGGACTGAGCGCGATTCTTGGGTGGTCTCGGTCTCTACGCACGAATAGACTATTCCGAGACCACCCGAGAACCAAGTGCAGTATCGAAACTTCCTTCCAAGATCTCGAGCAGTGAAATGTATCGGGATCCCAACCGATCGCGCTCGAATTTCTTCGTCCCGTCCTGATCCTGTAACGTCGAGTTCCCGCACATGCACATAGAACAAAATAACTGTTCTCTGTAGTGTCAACGATTCATTTTGATCGAGTGTACAGTAGCATTAGTGTGGGTCTGTGTGGTTCAAACATAAAATATGAAGTTACCTTTCAACGTCATAAACTCGGCCTCGTACTTCTTCAGTTTCTTTAACGTGACCGAGCAGGCTAACTTCATTACGTAGCGCGAGACTTCTTCGTTTCGACAACGTTTTGGCAGATGTACCCGAAAGTATTTCAATATACTCTCGAAGTCCAGCTGAAGCAGTTCCTTTTTACATAGCTACGGAAACAGAACCACTTTATCCTTATGACGCGTCCCAAGCAAATGATAATGCATTATCGAGATAGCATGCGCTTTTCAACACCTTACCATTAACAACGCGAGAGCGACCTGAAACAGCGTGTCGAGTCCTTGCAGGAGAAACACATCCAGAATATGGAAAACAAGATAAAGTGGAAATCTGGCTGTAAAGAGAGTCAAAAACCATTGTGCGGCGAACATGTGAGTCTCCACGCCACGGTCGCAAAAATGTTTATAAAGTTCTGGCAACTGATCCTGAAAAAGCAACGTTGAATTTCATCATTGAATGATCTTTCCAATTGTGTTTTATGCATGTGAACCTACCTCTATCAATCTATTAAGCTGATAGAACCTCATGTGAAGATTGTCGAATCTGTCCTTATACAAATCCCTTAGACCGTAGTCGTACATTAATTTAACTAGAACACAAAAAGCTTGCTCCTCCGGCATCTAGAAGAAATTATGAAGTCATCGCTAGTACATAAAATCTAGTCTCAAAAGCACGACAGCAGACTAGCACTTACATGAAGCAGCAAACTAGCAACTAGAAAACTGAGTCCCTGACAGTATCCAACTTCCTCGTCGTACACCGCGTATGCTTTGCTTATTCTGTACAAAGAGTCCTGTCCGAGGCCGCCGGTCTCTTTGAAAAAATCATGGGCGGGAAACGTTCTGTTGATGTCTCTCAGAATGACGCTCTCGCAACTGCTCTCCTGTAGATGCATCATGCCGTGTCATTTTCAGCATTTTTTTTATCTCTTGAACAATGAATTTACCTTGGTAATCAAGGTCCTATATCTATCCATCATTTCTTGCGAGTTGTCGCAGTTGCTTAGACGTTGCCACACTTCTCCGCGCAGAGCTTCCGGTATGCCTTGTCTTGTCAGCTTTACCAGAAGCTTCGGACGTTGTTCGTTGACTTGCCAACCGTCCAAGACCTCAGCCCAACTTGCTAGCTCGTCCGCGGAGCAGTCCTTGGACACTTCGCCTGTACCACTCAGCATTGGTTCGTCGCCATCTGCAATGTAGAATTAATAATATGATTTGTGTATATCTTCAGCCTATTACAAAAGTTGCTGAATCATCTCTTGATCAACCTGAATCTATTTCTTCCTTGGGCGTGAGTGTATCGATGCTGGTCAAAGAGGGTGAACGTATCAGTGACGCTAAGTTGAGAGCAAGATTCAATCTGTTTCTGTCTAATTCTCCCGAGGTCTCTATATTTTGAACTTCATAGTGAACTTCTGCTCCATCCCCGGATATTATCTAGAAGGAAGTCGTTAATACTTGTAGACCTTGTTACCATTTACAGCAGTAGAAAACTACTCGACTTCTATAATAGGTAACGTCTTACCTCTTTCGAGCTCAGATAGAATTGTTGTACAAGGTTTCGCTTGTTAAAATACCAGAACCTTTCGTTCTGCGGATACACTTTGACCAACGTTTCTATTATAAATCTAACGGGTTCCCGAATGCCGCGTATCACTAGATCAACGGCAACTGTTATGTAGATCTTTCCCTCTCTAGGAGTTTCTACGTTTAGAGTTTCCAATGCTGGATCTGCAGGATCCCAGTGTCCACATATGTTGTAACATTGCTTATCTTGTATCAATGGACCGGCATTCACTTGCTGGTAAGGAAACAGGAAAAATTTATTTAGTCATACAGAAAGAGAATGTGTTGCTAAACTACAAGCTAGTTTTGAAATTACCATTTCAAGCAATCTCATGTCGCTATGCTTAACATTGCGACCAGGACTAACAAGAACTCCGAAGCACCTCTCAACTTCAAGGGTAATCCCTCCCTCTTTACTGGATACTTGCTGAATACTTAAACACACTTGTTTAGTAACGTTACTCCGTAGTTTGAAGCAATTTCGGTCCTTAGGAACTGTGCTGAAGCTTCCCTTTCCATCATCTTCTTTTATTTCCATAGTTACTTCAAAAATAAATACTCGCGAATTGGATTTCTCGCTTCCATTATTGAAACCATTGAAATCGCTTCCAGTTAGAGAACTGGTCATGGACCGTGGTATTCTGTGAAATGCTTTAGAAAAGCAAGCGGAAACTTGTCCCACCTAAAACGATTTCAAACATCTTATTCTGATCGAAATACGAGAACGTCGCACCCTAAGAAAATAAAATGCTTGGTTGTGCGTCGGGTACAAAGTGCGATCAACATACCGCCTCTGGTATATCACATCGAAAAACATGACACTGATAGATGGCAGACTCCAATGTATCCCCATGAGACCAAGTGAAAGCGAAACATGCTGCACATGGTCCGCTACTCTCGCCACGTGCATAAAATAAGATGCGTTGCACTTCGTAGTGCGCGATTGGCTGTTGTGTAGCAGCATCATACAAACTGCAGCAAAGAAAGCAGTAACGCATAACGTAACACGGATATAACAATACTTTGATAGACATTTGTTTAATAATACATACCCAACAGAACCTTGAGAACTACTAGGCACAGAAACCGATACTTTGATTCCTAGATTAAGGGTCTGTTCTGCATTTAGTACATTCATGTTTCGCTGTATCTCGCATTCCATTTTTGGTGCATTTATTGTGGTGCTTCCCAAGTATGTTACGCCATTGAAGATAGTACACTCTTGTAGGCCTGGGGCTAATGAATTTATTTCTACAATATAAATAACGATTTATGCCTTATACTTAATGGTCAGTATTTAAATAGACACACAAACAACTCATACCTCCATCAACATAATCTTCTGGTTTCATAATGTCTTGTTTTTCCGATGCAACCACACAAGAGCTTACATCATAGAATTGACTGTTTCCCACTTTTTTTGGTTTTGATTGATTTTGTTGTACAGTGCTCACAATTTTATAGTCGTTACTCTTCATTTTGGAGTCCTCTGTTAGAACCTGCAGTTGTCACCGAACGACCAAACATTTATGAACACATTGGAGATAAACATTGATCTCTCTTATCTACTAATCCATGCAATGTATGCAAACCTCGCGCAAATTGTTTTGAAGATCTTCCAGGTTGCCGTTGTTGGCAATTTTGAGCATAGGTGGTTCAAATAGAGTTTGCTGTTCTTTACCCGTACATTTGTCATTTACAAATTCATATTCGTCGCTTATAGCCACTGATTCCATAGACTTAACACTCATACTATCCTCCATAACTATGCCTACAATGTAATGGAAAACATCATTATGTTAAAATATATTAAGTCTTGCAGTCATGTTATAATTATCTGTCTATTTATAAAAGTTTAAAATAAAACAATCATGAAAACAAGTAGCAATAGTATATGGAGCTAAACAATAATAATAATAATAATAATAATAAAATTGCACATTATCTATAGATATGAAACATAAAAAGTATCTTTGTTCTATTTGTGTAGTAACTTGAAATGACAAAAGAATGTGTATCCCTTTTTGCGTCTTTAAGATACGATAAAATCGTGAAATGTTCATACTCTGTTAATACCATACGAACAACAACAATTACGACGAAGGATATAACTTTCGCGAGAACTTCCGGACTGATCGAACAACAACCTTGCAATTTATAAACATGACCTGTATCGAGAACGAAGGAAATAATGCACTGGCTGTCATTCGGGAAATAAAATAAGATTGGCATGTGTCAAAATTCGACACGACATCGCTGAAAGGCACACTAACTCGAAGTCATAACGTCGTTTTGCCAGTTGAACGTTTCGGTTAATCATCTGACACGTATCCTTGTGCAAATTAATAATCGTATCCTCGTTCGTCTGTATCGGTAACGTGTCTTTATTTACACGGCTCCCAATCGTGCCCTCCACAGCAAAGTATAGGGATTACCCTCTCGCTGGATCGAAAATTTACGGGGACACCGGTGCCTCTTCTCGCATAATCGTTCATTAAAACCGCGGACACACCCCGACTCTTCGAACTTAGCATCGATCTACCCACGTCCGCACGGATCTTGATCGAACTACTGGCAAATGTTTACATGGTTTCACTCGTCATTGTAACGATGCTGTTTGACAGAAAAGAAAACCTTGGCGTCGGCCATTTGAGCACTAAGGTCCCGGAAGTCTGGTTCGCAATGACGAATTGCGGACCGCTCGACCTAGAGCGCGCAACAATTTCGAATCAGTTCCGTCGATTTGCACCTTTCACGGGTTTATTACACACTCTCTCAACAAACTGAAGTATTCACATCATCTCACGAACATAACAATATCCAATGCTCTCTTACACATTCTCTACGGTACAATACGCGACGGAATATGACCGAATCTGGCACGATCAGTGTTCGTAAGTACGATTTCGATGGATGATATATCTGGTAAATAAACTAGAAATTAATATCGACAGAGTATCGTTCGTTAGGTAATGGCTGTTTTATTAAACGATTTACACGAGGTTCTTGCGATTACTCGAACTCGGTACAACAATACGCAGTTTGTAAATATCGATGACGCGAGCGAATTGATTCGTACTTACCATTATAGAATCGGTGCGTGATCATGTTTCAATTGTTTGACAGCTATAAATATCGTGGGATGTAGTCGGTAAAGAAGTCACCGTGTTGGAAAAATGTTTGAAATTCTTTAGATCGATTCTATCAACGTTGGAAATATTGTGGAATCGTGCTTGCATCTCAGAGAAAGAAAGTCATGGTTCATCAACGATTTACGTTTGTTTTACACGCCTATATCTTCCAAATATTCCTTTACGTTGGATCAAATAATTGCCCCGATGACAGATAAATAGATACATTCAACGGAAATTCGTACAAACCAATCAGAAAACGCGCATAGAATCGTGCTATACCAGATAAGAAACTTTGAATAAGAATCGAGATCTTGATGCATGTACAGACAATGTTACCGCGTCTTCCTTGCAATCACAGCATAATAAACTTAGTATACGCTTCGATAAGGTTCTCTATTTATTCACGCGTTTAAGTAGACAAACGTAGAGAAACATCGCGATTTTCTTATTATCTTAAACATGCGAAACTCCGTGGAATTTGCGATTCCATGCCAGTACTCGCAACACATAGTTTCGAAGCCACATTCACGGCGCGTACATGCGTACGCATTCACAATGGACGTCGATTGTCGGGAGCCATCGGAGTTTCAACTGATAGCTATACCCATTGGTTTCGTTCCGCCAGCCAATAGGGCGCTGTTCTTTAACCAGCCTATAAGAAGTCGCCGACAGGTGGCGCGACAGCGTTGCACAGCGAGCAGGAACCGAGACGCGTCAGTTCACAGACGACCTCCGTTCCGTCGAATGTGAGGAAGCTATTTTTTTGTCTGTGAAAAAATTGTTCGGCGTTGTCGTATCTCGAAGGCTTGTCGTTGGTTCGCGTACACCGAGGGGCGAGCTTCTGTGATCATGAAAAGTGTGAGAATGTGCGAGATCGGCTAGCATCTAGGGCAAATAAAGGACAAGTCGGAGACGAGAGTGAGTACGGGCATTCGGGAAGAGCTCTCACGGCTTTTCACCTATGCTTCTTTTTCGGAGGCGGGCGTCGGGTATCGTCGCCGTCGTTAATCTCGCGATCGCTGTACACGATCCCGTCGGCATCCGGGCACCGTCTCCCGTTTTCCGTTCCCGTGAAATTTGACAGATTCCCCAGAGAAAGGGGGTGGTGGGGGGAGGGAGACAGAGAGCTCGTGCACACCGTCGCCTAAACGTCAACGGATAGACGAAAAGGAGAGAGGTTATAAAGTCAAGACGGAACAGTGCCCCTGCACCTGCCACTGCAAGACGATAGTTTTCGCATTATCTATGGAGTATCGTAACGCTGCGTCTCTCTTTCTCTCTCCCTCTCTCTCTCTCTGTCTCTCGCCCTCGCTCCCTCTCTCTTTCGAGAACCATTCCTTGTCTTTCGGTGGATCGCGTCTCCCCGTGCCTCAGAATCCGTTTCGAAAGATCTTGCAACGTTAACCTGTTAACCGAGTGATTTTTCGGTGATAAACATCTGTATGCCCGCACGATCGATGACGAGTGAAACCGTTCCGCTGAATTAAGTACAATGCAACTCGCGCTATCGCAGAGTAATGTTGATGTCAAACAGAAGATTGGATAGGTAAATAAATAGAAGATAAGCTCGAACACAAGCGGCCAGGTAACTCGCCTGGACCCGGTTAATAGGTTAACGACGCGTTCTGTGGAGCATCTCGTTTGCATTTTCCTAGAGAGATAAACGCGTGGCGCGCGTTCCTACGGGTATCTCGTTGAATATCGTTCGCTATCGATAAAATCGTTTTGTCTCTCGCGGGGAGGAATTGCCGAGAGTGTGTGTGGCCACGGGGTGTGTTATCGACATCACAGACTCGGTATCTGAGGATCTGTCATCGGGGAACGGGCTCGAACCGATGAAAACGATATATCGCGTAATTTTATCTTTAGAAAAGCTCAATGTCAGTTTCGAAAATGTCATCGTCGATTATTCACGAGTCATTTCTAGCCGACCCGTCGCGTTCCTTCTCTCGGCCTAGGCTCGAAATAAATAACCGCGGGTCTCTGTTTTCAAACGCCCCGAGCCCTAACTGTTTTTAACGAGGTTAGGCTTCCCGCCGCATCGACTATCGAACGGCTGATTTTTCAATTAACGCGCGTACGAATTCTTCAAGGACGAACCAAGTAATCCGGATCGCGAAAAATTCTTTCGCGAATAAATAGATAAATAAAAGATAAATCATCTTTTGAGAGCAGCGAGTAAGGTTTAGACTGGCATCGATATAACAACAGAATGAAGTACACATAAGGGAAAGTGTTTTCTTTGAAAAGGACAATCTGACTTGGTAGGCTCGAAAGTCTGTATCTTTTTAATGACATTGTTATGTTTCTTTTAAACGAGAAAATTTGACTTCTCGGTCTGCTTTGAGGTTATAGTCGTTCCTTGGTCCACCGTATCGCGCGTCATTTGGTCCACCCCGTAGATGCGGAACACGGTACAGACACGTGACAGACGGTTTAACTTGTTAATCAGGGACGACGAGTTAATTCGTAGTTTAAATGTTCTTCTTCGTGACCCGGCGATAGTTGAATCGCCATAGAATTTACGAAATTGCACCTTCCTACTAAAAACCTTGCTTGTCATTAGCTTTTCGGTGGCACGAAGTTGGCACTGTATCTTCGAACATCTTTCCCGCCTTCTCCTGTTCAAATCAACGAAATCTGTGCCTCGATCGTTGTTTATATCGATAGTGACGTAAGCGATACAAAAGTATCGAAACATGTTGTGTGTCGCCGTGAGTTGAGTGCACGTCGAGTTACAGTTCGTATTTGCCGGTGTATTTTGACGGGTTAAACGGAAATTTTAACGAACGAAGAAAGGTTGTGTAAATACGTTGTTTGTTCGATGGAAAGATAATAATTGGCGAAACTGTGTTCGACACGAAAGTCGTGGAGACCCGTTTTAAGGTAGCCGATTTGCGAAACCGGAGTTTCTTTCGTCGCTTTCGGCTCGTTGTAATAGTGTTCCGTGAACGATTAAGAAATCGATTCGTTCGTATTTCGTATCGTAAGACTGTTGCAAAATGTTAATTCGATGAAATATCTACGATTTCGTAGGGATCGAAATTCGTAGAAAGTTCGCGGTTCGAAAGTAACAACATTGCAAATAACCTGTTCCCAGTTACATTTTTTTTCGAGCGGTTTTTGGACCGAGTTTAATTGGACGTTTAAGTTACGAGACTCTTCAAGGACGCGTCTCTCAGGTAATTTAGTTTCTGGTTGATAACTTCTCGTGCAGCACGAAAAGATGGAGAATAAAAACGCGATAAAAATGGCGATCGCGCGCGTGTATCAGTGGATTTCAATTTCGAACGAAAATTAATAGGAACATCGATCGAATAAATAGACGAAAATAAAAAAAAATGAATAAATCAATCGGGCACGTGATAACACCGAATGTACCAAGTAAATACGACGCCCGTTTGGGTTTAAGCTTTTTAGATTAAGCTTTAAATAAAATAAACAGAAAACTTCGATAATAATTTCGAATGTATGTATTCTATCGCAAATGTAGCATCGAAATGTCGTGTCCACAGGTTTCAATATTCGACTGAAAATTGCAAACAATTTGCACACAGGCGTGAAACGAATCTTTCGAACGTATTAACACGTTGAATGCCACGGGGGTCACCGGTGACCGGCACTTAACTTGGCGGTGACGTCATGGGGGCCACCGGTGACCGGCACACCCAAATTGATAGAAATATATATAATTTCAAACAAATGTCAATATCTAAAATTTTGTATTATTATCATCGTCGATTCAAACAGTGACCCCTGTCGCAATTAACTCGTCAAACATGGTTATACACTGTAACTTATCTATTGCAGATAATATTTCAACATTATATGTATCGCATAAAAGAAAATTCATCGTGGCGCC